CCTCCTTCCGAAGACAATATTTACTGGTACGATCCTTTTACAAATCATCAACAGGCCATCGTCCTTCTTCCGCCTACAATCTTCACCAGTTCAAATCTCAGTCATGCTCCCTGTCCACAAGATCTCGAGCTTCAATCTTTACATGCATTCTCACAGATCTGCCTCATTCATATTCCTTTTGTTGTCTCGCTCTGTCAATTTATGGTAATTCCTCCCTATCAGAATTCGACATTCCCCGTCCATATACAAATTCCAAAACCTCCTATTCCAATTCTATCCAGAACAGTTCAGATAGTTGATAACCATCGAGCTGTTTTAATAGAGAAAATTGATTACATACAATTTCATTGAATTGATTCATTGATACATTTTTTTTTTTAATTCTTTACTGATTTTTCTTAACAATTGTATACTAGTGCAAATAGCTTTAAGTGCCTTATCATAGTATTTTTGTTTTGTATATAGTTTCGTTTTTGTTTATAGAATTGTGTACCTTATTTTTTTTTTTACATTATTTCTTTTTTTTCGATTGATTGTTATTTTGGCCAGATGTGATCTTTTAATTTTGTTCTATTTTGTTATTCTCAAGGGACTATGTCCCAGAATAAAATTATTTTTCTATCTATCTATCTATCTATCAAATAATTTTTGTTGTTTAAAATCCAAACCAGGATCTCCATCTATCTCTGTCTCTTGCAAGATTCGTAATTTTCAGCAACATCTTTTCTCTTGCTTGACCCGCCTTGGAAATATAGCTTTTATAGGTAAGTCTAGCTCTTCCTCTATAAATAGTGCCTACTGGTCTCGGATCCATAAATTTGCAGGAATCTCGATAAGGGCTCATTCGGTCCATAAGCCCGAATCATACCAAATGTCTCTTCTTGCAAGGTCTACTCCGTTGCAGGAATATTTAATTCTTTCCTTATGGTTTCATTCCTTTGTGTTTTTGAAGCCACTCTGCTCAAGTATTTTACCTCTGTTGTAGTTTTTCGGCTCTGTTGTTAGGTTTTGTTACTAAGCAAGACCCAGCTCTCTGTTCCAAATAGTAGAACAGGCATACATAGTGACTTGAAAATTTGAGGCTTGATATATTTATTGACCTCTCTCCTTCATACGTTTGTGTTGCAAATGGAAAAGTATATATTGTAATCTTTTCATTTTTCTTGTTGAACTTTTCCGTTTCGGCTAATCACAGTACCAAAGTCTACACATAATCTCCAACAAGCCCTAGTACAGTGGGAAGCAGAACACGGGAACAGAAGAAGGGTATGAGTATAAACGAAAGAAAAAGCAAAATTTAACATGTAGGACGAGAACCTGAACAAATTTATCTAACGTGCAATGACGAGGAGCTTGAAGTCGTGAATGAGTTCTCTTCTTTTTTCACTGCGAAGTGAAAAATGTAAATTCCTTTTGGTCAATTCTCTATATCAGTCTTGATTAATAAATTTGCACACCAGCTTCTCGATCGACATGTATACTTATGACATACAATTAAGATAGTGAAAATCATTCATTACAGAATTTTATTGACGGTCATAGGATGGGTCTCCGCTAAGGTACAAATTAGTATTTAAAAATAAAGATTTGTCATTTTGATTTTTATCAACAGGGGTGTGATGAATAGAAATCGATACTATCCAGCTTTGCGGTATAAGCTTGCTTTAAATTTGGGAGGTTACAGTTTATGCTTATCTGACTTGGTTGTAGTTACAGGAAGATTTAAACTTTGAAAATGACAGAAGAACAAGAACAGGTAACTAGTTTAAATGATTTTATATTATTAAAATTTTAAATTATTTTAATTATTAATGACAGTATTCTAAACATTTATTTCTTAGACACCAGCTATTACTGTGAAAGAGCCTTTAGATTTAATCAGGCTGAGTTTGGATGAAAAGATATATGTAAAGATGAGAAATGAGAGGGAACTTAGAGGAAGGCTTCATGTAAGTACTATTATAGTTCATTGGGAATTCATACACTATATTTTATTATTCCTGCAGGGATATACAAACCTCCAATGGGTCATTTTCAGTGGAGGTCTTGGCCTTACCAAATGATTCAGTCACTTCCATCTACTTAGGAAAACAATTGACCATTTTCAGGATTCCATGTATGGTGTGATTATGAGATCTCATGTCTCCGATAAAAGTGGAGTGGCATTTGTGCAGTAGTACTGATTTGAATTTTTATGTTATGGAACTATGATTATTTCTAAATTTTATTATTTTCTTTATAGAAACAAAAGTTTTGATTAATAACTGATAACATTTCAATAAGTTGGCTCATGCTGATATGTGTGTTAAAAAAGCTGAACGTGGTGAAGAGAAGAATTGGTCTAGCCTAATTTAAAAATTCTAACTTAGGGAGAGGGAATTTCCCCACCTAAAAAGGTTGTTGGATTTATGGGTACTACTATACAATTGTTGTTCCACTGAGATGGGTAGCTCACGACATTATTATTTATGAAATCTGGAGAATGGCTAAATGTGATTGAAATTAGATGTGGTGAAGTGACTGTACTGTCTGATAAGGGTCTGAGCTCAAGTGGAAAGAAGCCATAGGGTGTTTTTTAATCTCTGTATAGCAAATGGTACGTGTAATTAAAGCCGTTACTTCTAAACAAATATCATTCTACTTTTTTGAGTGACCCAAGATCCGTCATCACACACTGAATGGAATCCTGAGAATGGCCAGGTGTGATCAAAAGTAGACCGACCCGTCTGGTAAGATACCAACCTCAACTGTAAGGAACTTTTGGGGGTTTGTTTATCCCTTTACAGTCGGTGAGAGTCTAAAGCAGCTATATGATTAAAGCCTAATTAAGCTCCTCCTTTTTGATTGAAAAGGACCTGCCAAGAGTTTGCTATCTAAATGAAGGAAGGTTATACTATCTTGATAGAAATGCTAACAATCAAATGTAAAAGTACTACTATTATGTGCTTTTATAAATATTTGAAGATTTTGTATTCTTTCTTTAAAAATATTTAATTACAATTACAATCGCTAGAGTTCAGGATTGAAAATTTTCATAATCAACAGTTATCATATCGACGGTATCAATCCTATTCTTGGAATCTCATTTATACCTTGATCATGGATCAAAATTGAATGATACTTTTACAGTGGTACCTGATCTAATTAAAGCCCCGATTTGAACTGACAAGGTCCAGTTAAGAGTTTGCAACAGAAGTATCGTTAGATGATTTACTAACAATGAAGAGAAAAGAATTGGTTGTCTTCATTTACTTTCAGACGGTATGTTGGCTTCCGGATTCCATCTGTGGTGTGCTCAATGTGATCTTGACCCATTTGTTTGCCAGATATGACAAGTATAAACTAGTTCTGCATTGGATATTATTGATAAGAAATATAGATACTACCCCTAAGGTGCTAAAACAACACTACATTGAATGCAAAAGGTAGCCAAGTGTGTCTGATAACACAGACTAATTCTTATTTTTTCTGTATTTGTTTGATTTACCAGAAATAAAAATAAATCTGCCCAGGGAGTAAAAGACACCATGCCCATTTTTTAAATTAAATAATTTAGTAACTAAGAGACAAATTTTTATAGCTCAAAGTTATGGAATATTAGCTCCTCCAGCAAGAACAAGAAATGTGACAGTGTTCTTACCCCCAGGACACATAAATAGAGTAAAATATATAAATCATCTATCAACTTTATGGATGTAGGTTTTTGATAGTTTAAAGTTCAATTGTACAAATACATATTATATTAACGAGTAGACAGATATATCTAACCTGCACCACTACAACTCCTTAATTATGAGTACCCACTTAATAGAGGCTGGATGTGCTCCAGGAGGGTCTTGCGACACCAGGGTTGATAATCACTTTCTTATGTATATAAGAAAGTGATTATCTTAGGTCAGAAACATGAAATTGTGTTTATTTTGATATCAGGCATATAATATAACTGGTTACAGTATAACAATGTTATGTATTATAGATGGAATTTTCTCTTGCGCAATCTGTTTTGTCACGCTAATTTTAATGAAATTCATTTTACAGGCCTACGATCAACATTTAAACATGGTCCTCGGAGAAGCTGAGGAAACGATCACAACAATTGAAATAGATGAAGAAACTTATGAAGAAATGTACAGAACAACAAAACGTACCATTCCGATGTTGTTTGTTCGTGGTGATGGCGTCATTTTAGTCTCTCCTCCTATACGAGCTGGTGTTTAAAAGTTACCATGACTTTGTAAAACATTGTGTAAATACATTTTTTATGATTGAGAATGAAGAAGTCTCTTTATAAAGCCATCTTGGTTTATAGAGATTGATAACATTGAAGCAGATTTTTTTTTTTTTCTTCACATCTCAATATTGTATTGATTAAAATTTAATCATATAATTTTTTTTTTACTTATTAAACAAATAAATGAAACATTTAGCATTTACTGGTTTTTTTTTTTCTCATCTCATTACTTAATCCATTCAAATTATATTTTGATCACTTCAGTTCTCTGGTGAAAAGAGACTTTACTACTATTTAATTGGTACCCGAGAGGTGAACACGTGCAGCACTACAAAGAGAATATTATGAATATATGATCTCAGATTCCAATTAAACTTTTTTTTGTGCTGGGAAAATATTAGTCATATATCTGAGAGTTCTTGCCAATGTGCCCTAAAAGTCAAGAAAAAATAATAATAATTTCAACAATTTTTTATACTCTTGTTTTCTGTCTTTGCTTGTTATTAATGTTGAGCCATAAATTATTTTTTTTAATAATTAATGAGGATAAATGAGTCCGAATTGGAAAATCATTCTCAAAATTAGAAAGGTCATAAGGATAATACTGAAAGTTGTATAAAATTATAATTAAATTTTATTAATTAGATAATAATAATAATAATACAGATAAAATTGATGTAAAAATATTCTATTATAGCGCATGTACAGTAACTTCATCTATTATAAATATTGATTTATCACTTCAAGTTGGATACCAATTATTCCTATCTCACCAAAAATTCACCATTGCCTGAAAAAAATTATTATGATTAATCAAGAGATGTTCCTATTATTGTAAAATATAAAATTGAGTAGGTTATGAAAGTTTTTTTTTATTCATACAAAAAATCACCTGAGACAGAACTTAGTTATAAATAATAAAGCAAGTAAAGAACCTTTCTCCCAATTATTTTGTACATGAGTTGTAACTTTAATCTTTAAAATTTGGTCATGAAAATTTGTATCTACTATTTTGTATATATGTTAAATCTGTCATACGCTGGCAAACTTGCTTTAATCATATTATATTTGCTTCTTAGAATCTTAAAGGTTTTTATTAATAATTGTGGGTTGGTGGTTGACTGTAGTGAATAATGAAGTGAAGGATAGTTGGGGTGATCAGTCAAAATAAAAATGACAAAAATAAACATTATTATTTATTTTTGCCATTTTTATTTTGACTGATCACCTCAACTATCCTTCTCTTCATCATTCATTTTTATTAATAGTTTTGCAAGCATTTTTTTAATTTATAGCAGAAAAATATATTTGTAATTCAACTGAATTATATTGCATTCTGCTTATAGTATGATCCATAAAATATAGGAGTTATCAGGTGTAATTATATGTCACTGCCGTAATGTAAACACAACACTAGATAGCAGAATGATGATAATTGTTGTTTGTGATTTATCAATGTTATCTAATGAAAAAAAAAAACTAGAACACAAAACCCTATTTTATATAGAAATTATTTTAAGAGTGGCAGACAGACTATTATTGTTCACTCTGTCTGCCATTGAGACAAACCTGTAGCTATTGTAAAAGAATACTTCCTTAATTTTATATGTATTTGATGATAATATAATAAATATAAGGAAATTGTATTTGATGACGAAAAAGAATCTATGACTGTATAATGTTAAAAAGATGTTCTGAAGATGGAGATAGTTGATTTTCCGAAACATTAAAAAAAGAATATATTTTTATTTTCGACTGATTAAATAAAATTATTATAGAACTCTAGTTCGCCAAAAATTTAATTAAATATTTTAGGAATCTTTACCTTAACTGCGTCGTTTCTCCAAGTTTTAGGATGGCCATCACTAACGCATTCATCAGGAAAATCTTTCATTCCACCTACTGATAATCCCAGTGATATGAAGAACTGAAGCATAATGTAAATAATTTCATAACTATTGACATTAAATTTTTCTCATTTTTTTAAATACTGCGCTTATATAGAAAATATACATTAAGAACTAGCAGGGAGCATAAGAGAACACTGTCTTATTGGCCTGGGTCGTGGTGGCCAAGCATGTTTAAGTGTTGTCCACTTCATCATTTTCTAGTCTAGCGGTGCTGGTTCGAACCTAGCCTGAGCAAAAAATGGATCTCGATCTTCCCCCTCTATTTAGAATAGATTTGAATATATTTTTAGAACAAGCCTCCTCCCTCTTACTATATGCCATAAATAGGGAAATAAGAGAGAAAGAAAAAAATGTTCCTTACTAACTGAGCTGCTCTGCTCCCTACTGATGGGTCATCAATAATTTAATTTATGAATAAAGAGGTGGCCACATTTCCATTGATGAAGGCCTGAACTTCAGGCCGAAACGTCAGCAAATGCCAAAATAAATATTATCATTTATTTTTGCCTTCTTATTTCTGACTGATCACACCAACTATTCTTCTCTTCGAAAATCCGTTTAAATATTGGGTTGGAAAATAAGTCCTTTCGGTTTTTCTGTTTATTTTTATGTCACTATGTTACACTTCTTATCTGATGAATTAATCTTTAAGGTGGATTGTTTATCCTATTTGTAATATGACAACAACTATATCTATTGACTCTTGTTGAAACTAGCTTAATTTTATGTTTGTTATTGGACTGAGAATATGGAAGAAAATATCATTCATCATAAGTAAATTTTGTTGTATTTTTTTAAAAAAAGATAAGCGTGCTGCAGAAGCTCATAGAAAAATTTGCAGTGTTTATGGAGATGATGTCTTAACCGAGCGTACCTGTCAAAATTGGTTTGCCAAATTTCATTCACGAAATTTTGACATCAATGATGCTCAACGGTCTGGTCGTCCACATGAAATTAAAACGAGCAATGTTAAGGCCATTGATAAAAATCCCACCCAATCAGTGCGAGATGTTGTAATGACCCTTAATGTGTCGCACACAAGCATAGGTAACCATTTGCACAAGCTGGGCTATGTTTCCAGGCTTCATGTTTGGGTCTCACATGATTTTTTTCCTAAAATCACGAAAAATATTATAACTTCAACACACGTTTAGATACCTACAAGAAATTTAGCAGCAACTTAGGGCCACATAAACTATACAAAATGATATCAACAGGACCTTCGTTAACAAACTATAAATGGAGATAAAAAATAAAAAACTATAAGGAGTTTTTGTTTATTTATTCCTTATGTAGGCATTAAATAAATAAAAAACATTCATACGGCTTTGAAGAGCAATAATTCAGCTTTCTAACAAATATAGTAACATCGAATTTGGAGAATATCCTGAAGAGTTATGAATGATCGGAAGGGTGTTGTGTTCCATCAAGACAACGGTAGGCCCCGCACATCATTGGTCCCTCTCAATAAATTATTGAGCCTTGGATTGGACCTTTTGCCCCATCCTCCCTATTGACCAGACCTTGGTCCAAGTGACTACCCCTTATTCCGGTCTTTGCAAAACTATGAACGAAAAGAAATTCCAAAACAAAAAGGACATAAAAAAACCACTTGGATCAGTTTTTTTTAAACTATAAACTTCAGTCATTCTATGAACATAGTATCATGAAGTTAGTGGAAAGATGGAAAAAAGTCATATTAATTAACTAATGGTCAATATATTTTAGATTAAAATAAATTTTATTTCTATAATACATTGAGTTTTATTTCACCCTGAAAAACTGAAAGGACTTATTTGCCAACCCAATATATGTAAGAGGAAGTAGTAATGGATGGAATTCCATAATTACAAAGAAACTTCCAAAAAGCAGGTATTTAAAGTAAAGAAATATAAAAAAAATCATCCTCATAGACAAATTTCCTAATGTAATATAAAAAACAAAGTTATTTTTCTTAGAGAACACATTTCCAAGCTGCAGAGCCATTTATAATAATCTGTCTCAGAATTTGACAAAGTTCGTAAAAATTATCATTCATTGACCATGATTATCGACCATATCACTTAATTTCTTAACGAATACCTTTTTCGCTTCGATGCACTGTTTATTAGTAATTAATGAAAAAAAAAATCAGATAAATCTGTATTTTTGGCTATAAAAAGTTTTCTCTTGGTGACCCGTGTTTAGGAGTGGGGAGAGATGGGTAGGAGTGCTCCCCCTAAGAAAACTCTGGGGTCCGCCACTGTTTGTGACTGCACGAGGGAGTGAGAAATCTGCATTTCACATATTTTTTACTAGGTCTTACAATTACAAATTTTACCAATTATGCGTCTGGAAGGACAGATCTGTTGAAAAAATAATTTAAGCGCTTACTGTTGTGATTTCACAGAAATTTTGAAATGACTCATGTAGTGATGGGTGAACTGCACTGATATAACTGCAAATTTTATAGTTTCAAGTAAAAAATTTTATAACATTTGTGCACATCCTGTGATGTTTTATTTATTAATTCTCTTTGGTTCTTCGTATCTTAACAAATTATTTCTCAAAAGTTTTTTATTTTTCATTTTTTTAAATTTATAATGCCATATTTTCCTTAATTCTTCATGAAGTACAATAAATGAGCAATGGTTTAGAAGATTACCTTAGTGAGTTCATCTAATAAACTATTTCCAGAAACTTAACCGTGTAAAAGGGCCTTTATATACGGCAATATTTTTTATAATAGAAATATTGATGCGGATTATTTTTTTTTTATAATTGATTAATGAAGATGAATGAGTCTGGATTGGAAAATTATTCTCAAAATTAGAAAGACCATAAGGAGGATATGGAAGGTTTTATAAAATTATAATTATATTTTAATAATTAGATAATAAAAATAATAATATTTATAAAAATATTCTATTATAACGCATGTACAGTAACTTCATCTACTAAAAATGTTGATTTATCACTCCAAGTAGGTAACCAATGTTCCCGATCTTGCCAAAAATTCACCATTGCCTGAAAAAAAAATTGACCATGGTTAAACAGAGTTGTTCCAACCATTATAAAGTATAAAATTAAATAGGTTATGAAACTTTTTTTTTATTTATACAAAAAATCACCTGAGGACAAAACTTAGTTATAAATAATAAAGTAAAAAAAACAAAAACACATTGTTCCCAATTACTTTGTATCTGGGTAATAACTTTGATTCTTTAACTTTTGTATGAACACTAATGCTTAGCTTATCATCTGCTATCAAAATATTTGTTTCTCAGAATCTCAGCAATTTTTATTAATGGTTTTTTGAGTAATGTTTTAAGTCATAGCATAAAAATACACCTGTAATTCAATTGGTTAGTTTAATTCTGATTATAGTTTGATCCACAAAATAGAGTAGTTAGCAGCTATAACTATGTGCTAACGACAATTTAAACAAAACTCACTAGATAGTATAGTGATAGTCATTGGTGTTGGTATAAAGCAATAGCGGATCTAGGATTTAATTTTTTTGGAAGGGTGCTTTAGCCTGGAAGCTTTTTTTTCATATATATAAAGATAATTACTTAATTATAAATTAATAAATTAAATAACTAAATTTATTAAACTAAACTAAATTTATTAATGAATTAATAAATTAAATAACATGACTATGTATATGAAATGGTATTTAAGTGATTTTTGAAATCCTATTAAATGTAATTACACGAACAATAATACTTTAAGACATAATTTTTAAATATTTTTGACCATAAAACATGGTTAAATTTTACTATTTTTTTGGGGAGATGGGGGTGGTGGGAGACTTCAGCCTGAAAGCCTCCCTCTCCCCCGTAGATCCGCCTGTGCTATAAAGTTACTATACCAATATCCTTAGGCAAATATTCTCCTATCTCTACTACTACAGTCTGAATTTGATCTTTAGTATCAGCAAACGCATTTCTGAATGTTCTAGGAATCTCCTTTTATATACATAATCAGAAAGGGATATAAAAATGCATTTTAATTGTTTTTTTTGTTTTTTTTTGTTGTTTTTAGTGCCTTAATTAAAATTAAAATAATTAATTTAAAAAAAGCATTTTTAAATTTTAAAATATAAAAACCACCATTTCTTTTGATCACAATATTACCAAAGGCAGGTCACAAAACATTTTTTTCTAGAATAATAAATTTTTCGTATAGAAATTCTTTTGAGATCGGCAGATAGACAATCATTGTCCAGTATAAGTACTATTAGGACAAACCTGCAGCTATGCTACTGAATACTTCCATAACCTTTATGTTTTTATTTTTTTTGCAAGATGTTCTGAAGATGGAGATAGATGATTTTCCGAAACATTATCAAAATAATATATTTTTATTTTTTGATTGATTAAACAAAATTATTATAGGAGTATAGTTCGCCAAAACTTATTAAATATTAATATAAAATTAAATATTTTATGAATATTTACCTTAACTGCTTCATTTCTCCAAGGTTTAGGATGACCACCACTAACACAATCATCAGGAAAATCTTTCATTCCACCAACTGATAATCCCAGTGATATATAGAACTGAAACATAATATAAATACTTTTATGAAAAAATAATAGTAACAAAAATTTTATAAATTAAAAACATTATATAGAAGCCAAGAAGTATTTTTGTTTATTAATTAGTTTTATTAATGAATTACTAGGGGAGAGGGGAGAGGGTACCCCCTGTCTGCCTAATGGTGTATCAATCCCCATATTTGTTTTTCAAAATAGAGTACATTATGTTCATCTGCTTTTATTGTAAATATTGTGTACAGTGTGTGATTCAAACATTTGTTTTTGTAAATGATTTTTTATATTCTTTGATTGGTGTGTTAAATTTGTTGGGAAAAAGAAGTGTAGTATTTTCATCATGGTCCCGCGTTGAATGTGTAAAAGAAAATATGACAGTCACTAAAAACATGTTTATATAATAGAGAGATATCATTAATTATTAATGAAACTTGCAACCATTATTTTTATTGATATTATTCTAAAAAAATAAAATAAATTTCATCTGATGCATCCAAATATTTATAATTTATAATGTTTTGATAAAATTAAAAATATAAATACTGACCAAAAATAATTTTATCTTATATATGATATCTTTATAGGATTGTATTTTCTTCTTCTTGACTTGCATAGTATTTTTTCAATATAAACAAGTAATTGAGTGAGAGAGAATAACATGAGGAGTTATATTAAAATTTTTTTATTATATTAAAAAATACAAATATTGATCCGAAATATCAAAATAAGCTCTTCCTAGAAAAATATAATGAATTAATAATGGTTTATTACAGTAGTGTATCCAATAATGGCAAAACAAATAAGAGGTTCTCAGACGTTGAGTGATCTAGAATATTAATTTTAATATCTGGAAGATAAACTTTTATTCATTTTCCCTATATATTAATTCTTAAATCGAAATGTAAACTACTTACATCATGGTCAAAAGGAGCTATTTTTGTTCCATACTTCCAATTAATTGACTCATTTTCAGCAAAGCCCAAAAGATCTGAAAGCCTATCATCTTGAGGTTCAATAATGGCTTCTTTGTTTTCACCATCAATCATAAATGATATTTCATCTAAAAAGGATAATATTCTTATTAAAATTGAGATTTATGCGTGATTCTAAGATCACAGACCATTTTAAGAAACCATACTGGGAAAAAATATTAGTAAATAAGATCTGACTTTTTAATATTACTAATGGTCTTATTGCGGTGTTAAAGTCATTAGGCAGCATTAAAATCAGTTTCCTGTTTCAATTTTTTTTTAATTTAATTTTTCCTGTTTTATATTCTTGTAATAATATAAAAAATCATTCCTGCTACAATTAAAACATATCAACATTAAAATTGGAGTTCTTATTCTACAGTTAATAGAAATATGATTAATAAGAAAAAATTTATTACATTACCTGGTTTCCATATTAGAGTAAAGTTGTGAAAATCGGAATGCCAACCAGCATCAGATTCCTCGAATGTATTTCTTGCCCTCGTTTTATCTGGTGTTCCCATGATGATACCTGATTGAAGATAATTTATACCTATCTTTTGCTTTTGGTTGGATATTAAGTCTTGATTGCCACGGGCGACAGCAATACGTATTCTTCCAGAAGCAAAAGAGGGACCATATGTTCTTCTCTTTGGTTCCAACCATATTTCTATAAGGTAAATACATAATTACAAAAATGAAGACATAAATTTAATTTTGAAGTAATCACAAAAAAAAACAAAAAAACTTACATTCTTAATTTTTTTGTGTTATAAACTATTGTTTGTGTAAACTTTTTTGTAGTTCTTGAGATGTTCTATCATCCCTTTACATATTTCTCTTTACTTATGGGATACACTGGTAACGCTTGTTATTGCACAATGAAAAAATTGCGTGATGTTGTGTGCGTTTTACAATTAGTCACACTGAGATGGTATCTCATCTTAGTGTAAGATTTGGAAGGAAGTTTAATACAACACCTCACTTGGGGCAGAATAGCAGTTATCCTAATTGAACTCAGCCCTGTCTGTGGTGTCATCTATGGCCTATGATACAAACTAATACCTTGGAAGATAATATTGAAAAAAAAAACACTATTCAGGAGTGAAACAGGTGATGGGTCACTACACTTAAGGGTAATTGGGCTATCCTGTATTATCTTATTATCTATAGGTGTCTATTATTATCATTATTTATTTATTTTATTCTATTAATTTTTTTATTATTTTTATTTTATTTTTATCCCTTTTTCATTTTTATTTTTGTACCAACCACCTGAATAGTATAAAAGTAGTATTTAGTTGATTAGGCGCTGATGACCTGGATGTTTTGCGCCTAGACATCGAAACAAACAAACAAACACACTTGCTGCGGTCTGTTTCATGTTTTTCTCTTGTCCCTTAGTATAAAACTTCATTCCAAAAATTCATAAGCCCGCCAAAATGTGCTCTGTCAAAATTTAAAAAAACTCGCCAAAATATGACCCCTCAAAAATTTTGATAGTGAAAGTTGTGCTATCAAACCCTCTTCTGGGCTCGCTTGTGTACTCCAAAACAAAATATTGTCTACAGAAGAAAAAGAAGAGCCCCCCAAACTCAGCGTAATGGTGGGAAACATTGGAACATCTCGGGGTTCCACAGACAAATCTACTAATGAGTCTCTTCAGTCTGTCACCGAGAGGCCACAGTACACCACACAGCCGTAGTCAAAGTGGCAGAAGATGAAGGAAGAACCTAAGAGTCTACAGATAGATTCAGATTGGAGATGGCGGAAGCGATGGAATAATTTAAGAGAGGAAATTGATTGTTGAGCAATGTCGGAAATATGATAATTCCAGGAAAGAGTTTGATCAATGAAAAAGCCCCTGATTTTAACAGAGGAGTAGAAAGTAATGGGTTGTTCATTTAGGTATAGTGTGGGAAACCTGGAATTGGATCGGAGAAGGGACTTGGAACCAATGACAATCGCTGGAGTTTTTGCAGCATTTAACCTCAATTCGTTTAGGCATGCCCAGGCATTGATTTGATCTAGGTCTTCTTGAATCTTAGGAAAAGCTACAAATAACTCAGAGGGAGAGAATAATAAATAGATTTGGAAATCGTCGGCATAAAGGTGATGGGAACAATTAAGGATTGATTTATGAATATCATTTATGTATTAAAAAGAAGTGGAGATATACTAGAACTCTGGGAAATTCCTGAGGACAGAGAAAGTTAGGAAGAAAGCGGTTGATTAGGAATGGAAACTGCTTGGAAATTTATATTTCATTAAAAAAAAAAATTGAGTTAATTTACTTCAAACAATTGGCTATTGGACTTTATAGTGGTCTAAGCATTTAAATCTATTGAGTATATTTTTTCTCATTTTTATTTTAATTAAAAAACAAACTAGTGTATAGGTTTTTAGTAGAAGTAGAATACTAGAAGTAAAAAATTATGACATTTTTTTTTTTAAAACTGTTATTTCTTTTTTCGGCACCAAGGGCCCATTAGAATGAATACGTGTCAATTATTTTTGGATTTAGAATCGTCTAACAAATGTAGTTGAAATCTGTTATACTACAAAACTTATGTCATACTACAAATGTGGCATGAGTTTATAAAAAAATGTAAATTAGTTAAAGGTGTAGACTGTTTGTTATTATACCTGGAAGAATCCAATCTCCAAGAGGTAATTTGGCCCTTACGGTCACCTAAAGCATAAAACGTTCAATTATAAAAAAAGAGCAATTAATGGTATTAAAATAGTATATAATGTCATATTATTTTAAATTTAATAATGATAAAATTTTATAATGATCTAGGCAGATGAAGTATGATACTTAGTCAAAAATAATTTCCAGATCATACTTAACTTAAATCTAGATATTAAAAGTTGTAAAGCTGACAAAAAAATTTGAAATGTTGCCAGTGCAGAGATATATATACATATACATATAACATCATATAAAGTGTTAGCTAATATTATAAATATATTCTTCTTTTTTTTTTTTCAAAATAATTGATTTTCATAACAACTGAACTGAAGTCAATGAAAATGGCTAAGGTTATTTTCAATAAAATAAGATTGTCTATGTTATAGAAATTGAACATTCTTTATACATTGAAATACAATTATTTTATTACCTTTCCATACGTAAATGCAAAAGAATTCTTTGTTGTGATTCTCGCTGATCGGATTGGTGGAAGAATAGAAAATCCTCTTGCTGATTTAACACATTCATCTGTGAACTGACGTCCAGTACAGCTATATATTTTGAATAAAGCAGATTTTAGTGCAATTGATTTTTATAATAATATATTGGTAACTTAAAAGTAATATTTTTTAAATTATTTGTATGTTTGTATTATAATAATCTTTGTAGATATGGTGTGACATTTATATTGTATAAGGAAGGCTAAAAGAAAGTGCCTCCTTATATCATTAATTTTATACAGTTTCCTATTAAAAATGGCTCCAACGATTTTGTACAATGTATCAAATCATTAAGTCAATGTATTATTGAGTTGTTTTTAATTTTAGGTAGGGTTAATTTATCCTAATGAATGCAGCCTCACAGGACTTAAATGGCAAAGTTCCAGAAATGTTTTCCACTAAAGTATCTCTGATTTTGTTTATTTCAAATTGATCATCTCATATCATAACTAAAAATAAAATATGGTAAAACATAAACTATAAGGACTAAATTAAAATAAAATATTGAGGCAAAGAAGAACCAATAACAGACAGGTAAATAATCCTGTGCAATTGGTGACTAAGTTTTAAGCATTCCCTGTCAGTCTTGTGACTGTTATTCACGATTGATCGTGTAGAGTCTGCTTTAGAATGACTTCCAAACAGTTCACCAGCTGGAACAATTCCTATTTATGTTCTTCTAGAATGCATCTCAAAGCACATGCATATTATACTATATCATACAGGCATGTCTACGGGGAGGCCCTCCCAAAAATGGTGAAATTTAACCGTGTTTTATAGAAAAAACATTAAAAACTATATATTAAAGTATTATTGTTTGTGTAATAACATTTAATAGGACTTCAATAATCACTTAAACACCATGTCATACAGTTAGTATGTCATATGTCATATGTGCTAAGACCATGGGTTAGTTTCTTTCTTTTTTTCTTTTTTTTTTTTCAATTTAATTATCGCTATATATATATATGAAAACAAAAGCTTTCGGGCTGTGCCTCCCAAAAATTAAATCCTGGATCCGCTAGTGCTATATCATAAATGAGGAACGTTGGTATTCCGATAATGCTATGTGCATAAACATGTGTGATTTTCATAAATATTATCAATTAATAGTTAATCATGTAGGTAACAGCAATATGAAAATTAAAATTGTATAAATACCTGTACTTGAACAATTACAATACCCACAATGAAATATAAATAAATTTAGAGGCCTCATTTATAACAGGCACTTTTGTCGGACTAAAAAGAATTTTGGCACTGCAATTAATTAAATAAATAATAAAAATATAATTTTAGAAGGAAATGGACAGTGTCAAAAAAATAATAAATTTAGAGGATTAGATGGGTGGAAAAATGTATTATTTTAATTGTTTAATGTATTGTTATTATTTTTTTAAAATTAATATATTGTATTGTCTACAATTTTAATTTTCTCCAATTTCTACTCAAAGTATGGTGGTCAGTGAAAGTTGTGAGATGCCTGCTCCTTACCATATTTTTAAAAATTTCAATACAGTTGATGTTTAAATAAATAAATTTTAAAAAATCTTTGTTACTAAAGAAAAAAAGTTACTGAAAAACTTGACTAAATCACAAACCTAGTTAATTCAAGACGTCCGCTTCTAACAAATTCATCTTCATAAGGTATTGGTTTTATTTTAAAACTCCCATCAGACACCGATGATGTCAGTTGATTGTCTAGGACAACAAATTCATAATTCTGAAACAACCATACATTTTTATTTTAAGTTATAATATAGTTTGTATAATTATATCGAGTCTCCTTATATTAATTCATTAATTAATTATCTTTCTTGGGTTTAATAAAGATCTTCCAACAAGCAAGTTTGGTTATTACTTCTGTTTTATATGAACTAAGTTTCTGAAAAGAAAAATTCCTGAATGAAATTTCGAGTAGCACCACCAATTTTTAAAATTCAGCTATTCAGAAAGTACTCCAAGAGTTTAAATTTTATAAATCCTTAATTTTTGTTATGATAATTGAACTTCCTTGGAGTGAAGTATTTATTTGATTGGTATTTTTAATTGAAGTAAGATGGCTCTCATTAGGATTTAAGTCATCTTATGTTTTTCTGTATTTACCTTATGATGCCTGAATCAGTGATACATCAACTGGTGAGTTATATATAGTTATTTAGGAGACTTGAGTATTTTTGAGTATATTTGAAATCTTCCAATAAAATCTCAATTTCAAAATTAAAGTCATGCCATAAATAAAATGCCTTCAACAACTCATGAGTCCAAATAACCAAGTCTCACAAAATGGCTTGTGTGTATGTGAAAAGTCTAGCTCGAAAACGAAAATTTATAGGAAACTGATATTATTTAAGGTACATAAATTCATGGGATATAAAAGCAACATTTTCACTAAAATCGACTTTCCTGAAGTGGTATTTTTTATAAAGTCACTTTACAATTTTCTCCAAAACGGCTCGAACGATTTTGAATAAACTCGTTATATCAATGTATATTAAATCAAGGTGCAACAAAATGGTTTTTAATATCAAGTAGGTCCCATCCTTATTGATATAGTCTGACAGGGCTTAAGTCGTAAATTTTCGAAATACCTTTCTTGAAATTATTTCTAATAATAAGAAATGGCTAAATATAAACTATGATACAATTTAATAATTTAGAAAAATGAGAAACATTTTCCCTGGTTGAAAACAAATTTTTAGAAATAAGAATTATTATAATATGATTAAAAAGTTAATATGTGAAATATAAAGTCATAGAAGATAATAGAGATTATTTTGTAGTCAAATTAGTGTAATTAAATATTTTAGCTGTATTGTTGCATATTTGGAGTTTTTTCGCTGCATATTATATGTTTTCATAATGTATATTTGACTGTATATTGGTTTTATCGCATATTATATGGGATATTTTCTGAGTTTTTACTGCATAAAAATTTGGAGTCTCTTGATAAGAATCCCCTGGCAACGGTACATCCCATTTAAGAAGCTACCACCAGAATTGTGGTGATGTGCTAAAGAACAGAACAAATTTGAAACATGAAACGTTTTAATGTCTAGGAACAGAATAAACATTACAAAGAACACTTTAATGGAAGTACAGAATTATATTTATTCATGAAATTTCCTTTCTGTGACAAGTCATTTTTCAAACTCCATTGCTACTGAGAGTCAGAAAAAAGTCTTATACCCCTATATTATTTCTATAAATTTAGAATATTTGTACTACGGCTATAAAAACTTACAGGTTCAGATGACATTATCATTTCATAGCTCCATTTTGTCATATCCAAGCTACTGCCGGAAAAAGATTCTCGGAAAAGCTCTCCGCCTTGACACATTGCCCTTCCATCGATTTTTGTATGTGACAGCCCACAATCCCTCTTGAGTCGTGGTCTTAAAGATCTAACATTTTCTTTCTGAGATTCCTTGTGTCCACTTATTCCAGGAGTTACAATACTACTCAGCACTAAAAGCAATACATAAATTATTATTACAGAAAGACATTGTTTATCTCATATTTATGAAGTGGTTGCCATTTTTTTTCTAGCTTGAGAGAAAACTTAAAGATTTTCATAAGATACTTCTAAAATCTATAACTATGCTAAAGCCAGAAATATATTCATAATGTTATTTATACAGAAACAGATTAAAATTTGAAAGAAAAAAAATATTAGTAGGATAAAGAAACAAATATAAGGCCAAGGGGTAAAGAGTAAATAAAGAAACTGTTGGAACTATATTTGTTATTGATCAAGATCTCATTGAGGAGGAAGTGGGACCAGCATTGAATTTTAGGGGTTGACACCTCAGGATCTGAGAAAACAGGTATCTCTTAAGGGCTCCTTACACGGTCATGAGTTAATATTATTGAAGCAATATAATTGAAGGCAATATATTGAAGAGATACCTAACAGGGGTCAATTATATTGAACCAATATTATTGAAGCAATATATTCAATTATATAATTGAAGGCAATATATTGAAGGAGTACCTCACCCAGGTCAATTATATTGAGTCAATATTATATCACTTAAGATCTTGCTTCCACTAAAGAAGGAGGTTTCCAAAGAGGTAATCTTTCTTTTTTGTGGAAATGAATTTCATATACTTTAGCATAAAAAAAGAAATAAAAAAAGTGTTCTTTGTAATGTTTATTTTGTTCCTAGACATTGAAACGTTTCTTGTTTCAAATTTGTTCTGTTTTTGTTTTCTAATTATTTAATGTTTAAAAGAAAGTTTAGTAATAAAAAAATTGTTATTAAATTTTGTATAAAATTCTTACCCATCTTCTGAAATATATATCCGTTTTATCTTTAAAAAAAAAAGTAAGACAAAGTATCACCCACAATATATAATATCTTTAATATTATATAATATAATATATATTATATTATATAATATCTTTATCTTTTGAAAAACACATATCGGAGGGGAGAGGGTTAACCCCCCCCCCAAAAAAAATAAATAAAAGTAAAACAAAGTATCACTCACCTACCGAAATATATATCCGTTTTATTTTTTTTTTTAATATCGGAAAGAGGGTTAACTCCAAAAAAATAAAAGTTAAACTAAGTATCATCCACCTACCGAAACATATGTATATCCGTTTTATCTTTTAAAAACAAAATCAGAGGGGGGTTGAATCCTCCTCCTCACCCAAATAAAAAAGTATCACCCCTCCCTACTCAAACATATTGCCAGGAAGGGCACCAGAGATTTGGTATCGCCCAGAGCTTCTCAAAATCCGTATATGTGGTTTAACATTGCTCAATTATATTGACATTGTTTCAATAATATTGAAGGAGCTTCAATAAATAAAATGAAAAAAATTATATCAACCAGTTTGATTGACCTCAATATAATTGATGCCAATTTAACCCTTACATGGTTAATATATTGAAGAAACTCAATATTATTGACTCAATAATATTGACCTTGTAAGGGACCCTTTACAGGTAGCAACAGGAGAGGAAAAATTTATTTTTTACACTATCAATGAATTTAAATCATAAGATTTTTTTTTAAGGTGCAAAAGGCTTCAGCTTGAGAGAGAGCTCCTTAAATTTGCTGGTTCATTGGGGAGATGAGAGATGTACTACCCACTCATTATAGACGGGTTCATCAAATATTTTTCCAATGCATAGAAAAGTCATGTGGGTGCAGCAAACAAACATAGTACTGAAAGTTGATTTTCTATTTCATGAAGATTTTCATTTTCAAAAAATTTTTGGATTATAGTTCTAAATAAATTCGAGGAAATATTGACTGAAAATCCTAAAAAATTGTGTTGCTGTTAATATATCAAAAACATTCATAACAAAGTAGTAAAACAAACTGAAATCAAGATAGAGACAACTTTAAAAAAAAAAATTATATCAATACAATTTAATCTGAACTGTAGAAAACAAGAAGATTATCATCAAAATTACCACACAAACTGATTTATATCATTAAATTTTTATTTTTCAAATAGCTAGTTGTGTATTGCTAACAAGATGTTCTGATTGTTTCTCTAAAAGAATTTATTAATAGGTAACCAAGAATATTAGAAGGGTTTGTGGATATTATACGAGAGTATTTATTATAACTACAGTTTTAGATTCAGCTATATAAATTAAACTACAATAAATAATATAATTTGCCATTCCACTGTTTACAACTAAATCCAATCTTTAGTTAATTTTATCTTTTGGGTTTCAATATTACATGAGATATGTATGAGATATTGTGGAAAATAAAAAAAATAAATAAATTCATAAAATAAAATTAATTGCAAACTAATTTATTTGTTTTAAATTCTTTGAATACGTTTTGGTAGATGATGTAAGATTTTTAAAATATTTTATTCTAAATTTCAAAAGCCCTCCAAGTATTATCACATTAGAGAAATGAAACATGAAACACACACAAAAAGAAATAAAACCAATAAACAATTATTTAAATTTTGATGGTAAATGTTTTTATAATATTTCATGGACTTAAGTCTTTATAATACCAGATTTATATATTTGCATATATTTATAACCATTGAATAAATCATACTGATGGACACAAGAAAATCAAAGGAAATTAAATCACAGAAGATTAAATATTTATATAAAAAAAAAAATTACATTAAACAAAGTTTTACATGTTTTTGTTTATTTGATAAACAAAAATTTCATAATATATTAAACCAACTCATATTGTTACATATATATGTATTTGTACATAATTTTCTTTAAATTAATTAAAATTTAAAAATTATATTTCATATGAAATTTAAAGCCCTTATTTGAGTGTTTTAATTATAAATTTATTAAATTAGATAATTCAAAAGTAAAATATTAGATTATATATATATATATATATATATATATATATATATATATATATATATATATATATATATATACATGTTATTATTGATTAATTATTACAGAACAGTGAAATATTAGATTTTTAATAAAGAACGTCTGTTCAAGTATGGAAACAATTCTGTCATTCTTCTATGCTTTTTACAATTTTAATTAAACATCTTACAACCAAGTTATTTATTTACTTTATTCAACAGTATTCAACAAATCATATCAATAGAAAACAAGTATTTTCAATAAAATTCAATTTAATTTGAAACCTATTTAATGATGTTATAAATAGTTACTTTATTTTTTTAAATATTTACTTATTGTTTTTATCTATTTTAAATAAGATAAGTTCAATGTTAACTAATTTATTGTAATTATTGATTGAATTGCATTTTTATTATACTATTTTGGGTATAGATGACAATTGAAGTAATCAATTTATTAAAGTTGAAACACTACAAAAGAAACAAAACTAATACACTTGATATTATTTGTGCAAAATGAAGTATGAAAACACAGATTAGATTTGTTAATAAAGAATAAAAAATAAGTCAGAAATGTCGAAAGGAAAATATATTATGCTGTATTTTAATAAAAGCTATCAGATGTTATTAATTAAACAATTTACCAAAGAAATAACTCCAGCTAATCCTAGACACCCTCATCTTCTCAAGAAGAAGACACTAACTGGATAAAGAACTGGCCAAAACAAGAAATTCTCCACCACTCCTGTCTTTTCTCCCCCTCTTCTCATGCATTTAACAGAATATTTTATAATTTCTTGAATGTTTTTATTCACACACATATATATATATATATATATCTCAGGTACAGGTACATCAGTTTGTCTCAATTCTTAATGATGGCCAAACTCTGGGAGGTGATTCCAGACAAAATTTCCAACAAAATAGTTCATTTGATGCATGTGCCGATTCTGACCGAAAAACTGGCCAAGTCTAATTTTGTATTTATCTTAAGGTTATACACCTTTGAGATATAGAATTCTTGTTTCAAAAGTATGCTTTCAGAAAATTCATTGATTTGCCAATGGTCGCTGTTAACAATCCTATTAATTCGGAAAACAATTCTACCAATCTTCAATTCTCTGAATTATGTTTTTTTTTTCTGTTTATATTGGATTGGATATCCTAGATTACCTTCAACTAGTAAACTGAAATAGTTTTTGATGTATATATATTTTTTTTTATCAAGGTAAATATGTAAATATTTTAGCTTACGCTTTTCAATTTTCATAAGTTGTGTGTATTTCGTATTGAGCATATATGAAATTTTAATAAAAACTGATAATTCCGTTAATCTGAATTTTTTTTTAACAATCAATAATTCGTAATTATCATATAATGCGTACTTGGACATTTGGCACTCTCCATGAATTACAGTATGAACCTCCTTCTCTCTTCCAAGAATAGTTTAAATTTCTTAACCTGTTGTTTATTACTATACATTTTGATTTTAATTCATTCAATGTGTCTCTGATTCATTTGCTTTATTAATAACATTAAATTAATTGTAACGTAACTTTTTATATCAAATGAAGTATCATTTCCTTTATCAACTGCCAAAGAGGTATTTTTTTTGTTAGACATAACTCATTGATAATTTAATCATCCTAAGATAATTCGGTTGCTAGATGTGACGTCATTTCTGAGTATAGTATGACAACAGCCATAAACAAGTTTCTACGTCATTATTCAGTTGAATTCAGTTTTCCTGTTACAATTAGAAAGACCGTAAAAAATCACTTCCTTATTCGAATTCAGTACTCTTGACTTTGTAGTAAGAAGTTCTCGTGTAGTTTTATTTTCTCTTTTGATGACTGACCCTCAACGTGCAAATTAAGCTTGGGCACAAAGACAACAAGAACATTTTGGTGGGTTTTAATGATTCCTTGTAAAGAAGTCGAGGAAGAAAACGTGATTTAAAGCTCAACTTTACTTTTTAAAAATACAATTTACTTGGTATACTGATAAGAGACATGTCAGGACCATTTAGGATACAGCCATGTAAAACTTTGCTAGGGAAAACAAAGTAACATTCGTTTTTAATGTCCTTTTTTGAAACTCATAAATGCGAGTTTTATAGATATCAATTGCATATTTTAGTATTTGATTTTCTGGGATAATTTATTTACCGGTCGTACAACCGTTGAAAAGCGGAATTATTATTACTCTTTCTTACCACATCAATATTTTTTAAATTTAATTTCTTTTTAAAATAGACATTCAGAAAAACATTTTTATTTTATATCTATGATTTTAATTTGTTTGCAGAGGTCGGGTTTATACGATTTTGTGTAGCATAGAGAGTCCTAACTCCATGATAATTTTCGTATTATTCAGTGTAGTCGTTCTGAAGTTATCAAAATTTTTGTGGATAGCGACAAAATTTCGAAGGGTAAAGTCTTCAAAGGATTTCGAAGAGGCCTTGGTAAAGATTTCATGCAAAAAATTCAACGTTTCGATTGCTTTTTAAATTCTTAATTTAGATGTTTTGGGGCTACGAAAAACTAATATCAACTTTTTGTTAATAATTATTCCCTTGCTCGTTAATATTACTTTAGTTCATCGAAGAAATCGTACTCCAATGATTTCTCTTATCAGGTTATCAGGAAAATCAGTCTAATTAAATTTTGTTATTTTTAATGGACATATTTAAATAACTGGTGACATTCTATAGATTGTCTTTACAACTCTTTTATTACAAGACGGGGACCTATCACTATCTTTCTTGACAATGCATTTAATGTAATGCCAAGTTGATTTTATTAATTTGGTTGGACTTTACTATATTATTTTGTCAATAAAAGACCTAAATGTACCTATTCTGCGTTTTTTTTTTCTAAGATCTAAAGTAACATGTTTAATAAATAACAATAAGGGAATAGGTAACTGCAAGACTTGCGAGACTCTTGCCGAAGACCAAGATCTCGATTGAGTGAGCAAGACGAGTCTTATTGTTGCATTTGGGCAACACTAGTAGTAAAGAATAGCACAACCTTCAAAATATAATTCCAAATATAAGGTATTTTCTTACTGTAGATAAAATATCAAATGATTTTGATAGAATGAACTAAACATTCGAATCATATCGAAAATCGATATTTAATTCAACCTATTCTATTTTAAAATCTATACTATATATAATACGGCTGTAGAGATAATTTTTTCCAATCTCAGGATCGATGGATTTTAATGATATTCGTTTAAAGTAAACATAGTTTTATATAGTTTCTTTCTTTTTCACCCAGAATGATTAAAGTGATATCTCTCTAATGTATAAACAAGTGGTTGGTGACTTTCATATTTTATTTTACTTTAGTATAATGAGAGTAGGAGATGGCAGGAGCTCAACAGGAGCCCAGTCCTCTATGCTTACAAGGATCGCAAAATTTTCTGATTTCACAAAGGGAAAATTCATCAAAGTTCTTAGTAATTTAACGTTATGAAAAGTCAACGATTTTTTTAATAACCCGACCCGATAAAGATAGTCGATCTTAGAGATATCGATATTTGTGATTCGATTAGATCAAAGACTGATATCAATAAGTGCTATCGGATTTTGCCCGATATCGCAATAACCCTAGGTATACTAGTTTAAAACTGAGTATCTTAAAAATTGAATACTAGTGGAATAAACTGGACTAAATGGCTTCACTATGTTTATCAACAGCTGACTTTCTTAGCAATGGATGTGCTAAGCACAAGGTCAGTGACCTAGGTCAGATCCTACTTTACAAGGACGAGAATAGACATTCCACGTCTTGTATTTTCCTCAATCCATTAGACTTCTCTGTCAGTATCTGCCTAATCAGCTATTTCATACTTCATTTCTCGCCAGAAGTATTCACAAAAGATATAATTTAGTGTAAATATCAAGAAAAATTAAAAAAAAAAAGGAGGAAAAAAACAGGAAAATTTCATGTATATCATATTAGGAGGAAACATGTATGTTGTATGAATCATAACATTTCTAAGAATTACAGATAGCTTAAACGTGGAATGACATTAAATAGACGCATTAAATCACACATAGGGATCCATATTTTCCTTTCTTTATTGTTCTGAAACAAATGATTCGATATTATCGGAATATCATAAGAAAAATGTCAACATCGAATTTCGATATTTGTTTTTCTTGTTTACATTATATAGTAAAATCAAATTATTATTTAAAAACATATACCACATACCATGTACCAATATTTTTAAACTATTTAAATGCAAAACCTTCAATATATCCATATCCTGTAAAATGAAGTTAAAATATTTAAAAAGAAAACAGTTCACATCGCTGGCTGAATAGCAAAGCTGTTCTTTTAAGAACGTTGTTGTGAATTTTGATCTTACTCAACATCGGATCCAGAATTTTTTTTTTTTTTTGGGGGGGGGGAAGGGAGGAGCTTCAGCCCGAAAGATTTTTTCTTTTAAATATATAACGATATTTATTTAGGAAGAAAAATAAAGGAACTAGTTTCCTATATGAAATAGAGTTAGGTGATTCGATAATACTTTTAAAGGTAATTATAATTTTTTGTCCTCCCCTTCCTCCTTGCCAGGGAGTGTGGGCGGGGATTTAAAAGACTCCCTCGGCACCGGGACGCGAGCTCGTGAATATTTTTATATCATTTTATTGATAAATCAGGTTGTCCGGCAACAGCGGTGCTGTGCACACCCATTAGTCCATTCGGCCACCCCGCCCACAACAAAAAGGTAATAATAAAATATTTTTGTATAAGACATGGTTATATTTTACCATTTTGGGGGAGGAGGGAGGGCTTCAGCCCGAAAGCCACTCCTCCCCTCCCCCCACTACGTAGATTCACGTGGATAATACTTATCGATGAAAAACACAACATGTGCATTAAAATGACATGAACCATTTTATATATGAAATATACGTATAGTTACAACAAGTTCACATTTTCTCGATTTCTCAAAGAGAAAACTCTTCAAAGTTCATAATTACTTAAGGTTATGAAAGGTCACTTAATGACCTTTTTGTAATAAACCAATCAATATTTTGTAAGTATCTCAAAAATATCATTTTGAAATAGAGATATTATTCCATATTAGAGATTTATTTATTAGTTATACATATTCCTGGCTCACAATAAATTTGCCATCTACCTCGGTATTCAGTAAATATGATATCAAAGAGAAGAAATGATAGCTTAAGAAAAAAAATAGTAATAACAAAACAAAAAGACAAAAAAAAAAAAACAGTAGTAAAACAACACATAATAACACACAACAAAAAAAAATAATGCAGCAAGTAGCTCAACGCAATAAGTCTCTTGACCAGCGCCTCAGCAGTCTTCTGAGCGGATTATATGGATTTGTGGCAGTCGACAGAGCTTGAGTAAGTGGATTGGAATTTAGAGTCAGTCTGTCATGAAAATTATTAAAGCGGTCAGTGGCAGTTGCCGTGATGAAAGGAGTGTTAAGGTCAGTGTGTAACGTGAGATTTGAAACGTAAAAGGGTGCGTCTACAATTTTCCGAAGGACTTTTGACTGGAACGACTGGATGATTTTTATATTTGATTTCTTTGCTGTTTCCCATAGTTCGATTCCATATGTCCAAAGTGGCTTAATGAGGACTTTGGTAAATAGTTAGTTTATTAGTCACAGATAATTTAGAACGTCTGTCAAGTAGCCTAGAAAGAAGTCCGTATCGTTGATTAAGTTCTTTTCTTTTTTGTTTTATGTGGTATGGCCATGTCAGTCGTTTGTCCAAGTAG